TGCATCGATCGACATGCGGTTTTCGCCAAAAGATTCTTTGAAATATTCTCCAGAGCATGACGCCCTTGGTTTTTTTTTCAGTTTTGCTGCGAAAAGCTAAATTTCTTTATTTCGCCGATCGCTTTTGTAGGCCGACGCTTCTGTCTCTGTAATTTTAGAAAATCCGGTGCAGAAGTGATATTTTACGAGGCGCATTTTGTTTTGAGAGTATAGATCTAGCTCTAGACCTTCTAATTTTTTGCATCTCTCAAGATTTGTTGCTCCATTAATGTAGAGAGTAAATATAATGGGCCAATGACTTTTAGTTGATGTTAATGCACTGATCATTCCTTTCATCGAAAGGGGGCCCAGCTAGTAATAGTTATAAGACTGGAAGTTCATGTCCACACTTTTATTAAACCTTGTTAAAAGACAGTAATTCAGGAAAGTTTTGCCAACTGAACTCAATGTCTTTTTTGTGCAGGGTTTGATTCCTACTCAGTAACTATTCTTTTGTATTTTCTCTTTTTTGCTTTTGTTTGTCATGTATGTGTTAATTTTAGGTTATTTAAGGTTGTGGCAAGATAATGTTCACTGTTATACTTGCATTCTACAAGCAGTTTTCACCCCAGAAGTGGGGGTTTTTTGCGCGCTACTCGACATGCATGCCCAACGATTATCTACCTGAGTGTGTGTGGAGTGGGCGAGAGGCAGTGTGCATCACACGATTTATTGTTTTGTCCCTAAAATAGCAATCTTTGTTGCTTCCCTTGATTCTCTGACACAGCGGATGCCATAACACTTCACGTATCCCTCGAACTACTGAGGCTGGCCCCAGCGATTTCGGGCTATCCTTTTTTTTTATTACTGTATTTGAAAATTTTGTGAACTGGCTGCTTTCTCAAATGCAAATACATAGTCTTAGCCTTGTTTCGTTATTTTTGCCTGCTGGTGTTACAAACATATTTGGAAAGATTGTGTGTGCGATTACTCAAAATACATGGAAATCACATTTTTGTCTGCTCATATATAAGATAATTTGTGGTGGTAGAAAATGTGTTAATTTATTCATTTCCGAGTTCTTTTGCTTGAGACCTAGAGTCACTAGTGTCTCCACCCACTGATACATTAGTGCTAAGCGTCTCATACATGAACAGGTCAGACTTATGCGCCGGTCCTTGCCCATTGAGGCGGGATCGGTTACTCATTGTTCTGATACACAAGAAATATAATAAAAATGGAAATTCATATCCAACACAAATTTATTGCAACTAGTTTTTATTACAGTAATTGTGCTAGTTTTGCCCTTGGAACTCAGTGTCTGTTTTATTTGTACGGGTTTGGATTAAAACATACTCGCTAATTCTTTATTTTTCCTTTGTTACTTTGGTTTACTGTCGTTTATTTTTAAAAATTAATATTGTGGCATAGTATTGTTCACTGTTATGTTTTCTTCCCAGTAGTGTGGATTTTTTTTTTGGTTTTTAAATATTTTTCCCTTTATGAATTAATGTTGTTGTTGTACTCGAAAATTTTGTGAACTGCTGGCTCTCTCAAGTTCAAACACACAGAGTCGGTGCATTATTTCATTATTTTTGCCTGCTAGTTTTACAAGATATTCGGAGAGGGGGGGGGTGTATAGGTGAATACTTAGAATTCATAGAAATCACACCTCAGGTAACTCATGGTGGTTGAACATTTTTTAATCTATAAATTTCCATGTTCTCTTGCTTGAGACCTAGAGTCACTAGTGTCTCCACCCACTGATACATTAGTGCTAAGCGTCTCAAACATGAACAGGTCAGACCTATGCGCCAGTCCTTGCCCATTGAGGCGGGATCGGTTACTCATTGTTCTGATACACAAGAAATATAATAAAAATGGAAATTCATATCCAACACAAATTTATTGCAACTAGTTTTTATTACAGTAATTGTGCTAGTTTTGCCCCTGGAACTCAGTGTCTGTTTTATTTGTACGGGTTTGGATTAAGACATTCACTCCCTAATTCTTTATTTTTCCTTTGTTACTTTGGTTTACTGTCGTTTATTTTTTAAAATTAATATTGTGGCATGGTAATGTTCACTTATGTTTTCTTCCCAGTAGTGTGGATTTTTTTCTGGTTTTTAAATATTTTTCCCTTTATGAATTAATATTGTTGTTGTACTCGAAAATTTTGTGAACTGCTGGCTCTCTCAAGTTCAAACACACTGAGTAGTTGCATTATTTCATTATTTTTGCCTGCTAGTTTTACAAGCATATTCGGAGGGGGGGGGGGGGGAGGTGTATAGGTGAATACTTAGAATTCATAGAAATCACACCTCAGGTAACTCATGGTGGTTGAACATTTTTTAATCTATAAATTTCCATGTTCTCTTGCTTGAGACCTAGAGTCACTAGTGTCTCCACCCACTGATACATTAGTGCTAAGCGTCTCAAACATGAACAGGTCAGACCTATGCGCTGGTTCCTTGCCCACTGAAGCGGGATCGGTCACTCATTGTTCTGATACACTACACGTTTAATGATATGAGAATTCATGTTCACTGGAATTGATTGAATATCTGATACAAAAGATAAGAGAACTATAATTTTCTTATACGTTATAAAAGATGGAACTTTGGAATTGTATTTCTGCTACAGCCGAAATCCTGTTATAATCGGGGCCCACTGTTTGCGTTAGCAGTTCGGTTTTTTGTTTATTGTTTATTCTTTCTTCTCTTCTAACTCGCAAAATCATATGGGTATGCTCATCCCAGGTCACCATTTTAGGACACATTTCTTGTTCATTTGATCAGATGACGGGACTATAATATTGTAAAAATATTTGCATCTGCTGTTTGATGAACTATATATTGATGTTCTAGTGGATTCATTACTCTTGTTTGAGACCTAGAGTCACTAGTGGCTCCATCCAGTGATACATTAGTGCTAAGAGTCTCATACATGAACAGGTCAGAGCTGTGCACCGGCTCCTTTTGTTCTGTAGAGGGATCGGTCACCTATTGTTCTGATACATAATTAATAGATAATACGTTTTGTACATGTAGCGTAAATGCGAACAGTAGTTTTCTGGTCTTGGCTTTTCTTGGAAAATGTGGAAGACTGCATGTACCTTTATTAGTTTATATTTCAGTAACTCATTACAGACTTAACATACCTGCCATTTTTTATTCATTTATTTGTTGTTTTTTTTTCAAATTTTATGGAACTGAATACTCATAATATTTTGCTGTTTTTGTCCTGTTTTGCTTCAGTGAGTACATTTTTAGGTTTCTGAAAGTTTGTAATTCTATTGAATTGATCCTTTGCAGGTGAGGGCAGTTCGACCCCACAAATTGAGTGCTATGAGCAAACGACAGAAGACCGTGTCACGTGCTTACGGAGGTTCCCGCTGTCATAAAGCTGTCAGAGAGAGGTACGAAAAAGATAATTGCTGAAAAAAAATTACTTCTTATGATTATAGTGTGGAAGATAGTTTTCTAGGCTTTTGTGTCCTATTCCTATTGGTACCAGTGCTTCTGATAGGATAGTGTTCGTCTCTCCTCTCTGTGCAAGCAAGGTTGGATTATGTTAGCATCAGAAGCTACAAGCAACAGGGGTCTTTGTGGAATCTGTCTGTCATTCAAAAGATCTAGCCAGGTCTTCATGAGAAACAGCATCAACCCTGCATAGGTGGTTTCATGATACAGGTGTACCATTGTGCTGGCACTCAAAATTGATGACACTGGATGTGGAGTAGTGGTGGGCCAAGAATCTATTCCAGAACCGATTCCTGCGATTATTGCTTCTGAGAAAAAGAACCGATCCCTTTTTCGTAAACTAACGATTCTCAATTACTCTATTTTTATCTATTTTTTCGTCAAAGAATGTTGTGGGGGGTTTTTTTGTTTAATGTTTGTGGTTTGCTACGTTCTGAAATCGAGGTTATTCTGAATCTTGAAGACTTAAGAAAGAGTAGTCGGGATGCAAAGTCATTGTCAAAGATTATATCGATCTAGTATACAGTGTCAAAACTTATTCGTTGCCTTTTTCTCATTCATCTGTTGTTGTTTTTAAATTATAGTAATATTCCCTTTTCTTTCAATTCAAAATCTAAAACTGTAACGTCTGCCCACGTGGCTCTATATTATAGACTGTCATTTCTCGGTGTAGGTCAGTGTTGGTCTCTGACTTCATACTGTAGAGATTGGGTGGGGTAGTGCCTGGGGTAGCACCCTCCCACCCCAAGTAATCAAAGGGATCGGACTAATTGCTACTCGCCGGAGGTCATTGCAGGGGTCGGGCTAACTGCTAGTCGCTGCATATACAATCATAACACTGGGTACGGGTTGAAACCAATGGAAGAAATCATAGAGCCCCTGGAAGAAATCACATCACTGGCTATAAAGAAAGTAATTGGGTTCGGCGCCGATTCCTAAGATTCCTAGCCTTTAATATTCGGGAATCTACGGTTACCGGGGAAAAACAGGAATCGCCCATCTCTAATGTGGAGGCACTTCAAGTACATAGTGCTTAGATTTTAGAAAGTACAGGCTCTGAACTTGGTTGTGAATGTCAGCTCTCTCTTTAGTTCAAAACCTTATCAGGCACTGGTGGACAGTGAACTCGCTGACTACTGTAATCACAGTTGATGGCAAAAATCTATCTCTATAATATGTATTTATATATTTAATGTATTTTTATTCATTTTTTTCCGGCGTATGGCTGCCGCCACGCCCCCTTTAATCCCTTTGTTGCTAGAGCGTGTGCTTTCCTTCTGTCAGTATTGATTTTCAGCTAAGCTGGTTAGCTTGGACAGCAGTCTCATGTATCAGTGTTAGGGAGTTTGCAGTCTAGATCTAGCCCTATCTTACTCAAATTTTTTTAAGCTTGCTCCTTTCAAACATCTATCGTCCTTATCCCCCCTTCTTTTTTATGTTTGTTACTCTCTTGTGACACCTCTAATCTTCTGGGGCTCATATAACCTTATGCCGTAAAACCTCTACTAAAAGTGAAAGTGAAAGCTTGCAAACCTAAATCAAAATGTGAAATCTTGTGCCTTTTTAAAATTCATTTTGGTATTTGTTTTGTTAGAACACTCGAGTCATTCAGAAAACCTGTGATTATCATTGCATGCAAGCCTAGCAGTAAAATAATACTAAGGGGGCTCTCGTGGCCTAGAGGTTAAGGTGTTCACCTCTCATTCAAAGGTCCCGGGTTCGAATCAGGGTGGCAACGGAAAACTTTTCTCCTCTAAAATTGTGTCCTTTCACCTCTTTTCCTGCTCTCTAGCAATGTTCTGTCGTCTGTTTTCGTCTCCACTTTCTGCCATCACCTCCTTTGCCCCCTCCTCTGGGCTCCTGACTCTTTCTGCAGCCTTTCTACTGCTTCTCCTTGGCTATTTCTTACTGCTGTGTTTCAGTCCCAGTCCCTAATCTTATAGTAGGTTAGATCTGATCTACGCCTAGCTTTAACGGACAAGGCGAAAAATCTCGGAGGGCCGGTGTGCAAGTTGTGCACGTTAAAGATCCCTTGGTGATCCAAATTGATAAGAGTAGACTTCGGCGGGCACTGATGCGCGCCTTTTTTTTCCCCTGAATACTGTGCTTGGTGCTAAATTTCTGTACAGAAAAATATTAAGAGCCAGATTACTAACGTTGCGTTCATGTAACATCTAGGCAACTAGGTATATCAAATTTTGCCAACTTCTATGTCATCCATTGTACGGCACATAGCTAAAGATTATGCATTTTTGTAATGTACCTGGTACGTCGTAAGACAACAAAAGGGTTAGCATAGAATTTCGAAATGGCAGCACAACTTTAATTACCATAGATTTGTCAATTAAAACCACAGCCATTCCTGTTTCTCTTAGTTTCACGCTTGTGACTGGCCATGATCGATATTGCTGTAAATTACTTACTATAAAGGAAGTGATGTTTTTAGTTCACTATTGAGCCATTGGAACGAAAGTTACAATTGAAGCTTTTTGTTGCGTCGTTTATTTTTCAAACTTTACCCCCTGAGTCAAGCTTTAATCTGGACCGACTTCGGTGGTTCAAGAGATGTCTTAAGATAAATAAGAACAAATGGGACTGCAGGCACAGTACGACCGTGTGTGATTTCGAGTCTTCTGTGTTTGACCTATCCGTGTTATACGGTATATGGTTTTCATATAACATTAAAAGTGAGTATTAAAAGAACTGAGGGCTAATACCTGTTCAGAAGAAGAAATGGAGTTTTGGTGAGGATAGAGAAAAGGGTTAGATGGCCTCTGTGGGGTTGGTTCAGTCAGTCAAAATTGCTGGTAGTTAGTGAGATAATGTTGAAAATGTCTTTAGACAACAGTGCACTCAGTGCTTGGTCTTTGTTGTGATGCATATTTTACCTCTCAAATGTATGCATGTGTGTGTCTGGTGAAAGGCACTGTATGGCACATTTTGAGGAATAGCAGGTTTAATTTTGCTCCTTTTTTTTCACTTTCTGGTACAAAAATACTTTCTGAACAATGCATTTTAGATTTTTAATATAGAATAGATCTAGCTTCAGTACTTTTTGAGGTCTGGTTATATGGTTTATTAAGATGCAGAAATAAAGTTTTGAGAAAAATTCTTTACTTTCCCTTAGATTTGGATCAAAGTCTTCTTCAAATGAATATCAATCCAGTCGATCGGCTAGCCATGTCATACCCTTGACAACACAGTTACTACTCAAAGTGCTACTTTGTAGCAGTTTGAGCCAGCTTAACAGTTTCAAAGCGTCATTAATAAAATGTTTTCAAAACAAATTCTCAGTGAAATAGAGAGAAATTTCACAAAATGACTTCGCTTTGCTCACAGTGTGGGAAGGGACGTGTATGCACAAAGCTTCCCTTCCTTTTCTGTGACGATGTATTCGTGCACAGGCACAAGTCCAAAGTTTTGAATATGCTATGAAATGGTTGATTTTTATGAATAATTTTAATTGAAATCGTCAATGACGGTGATAGAATTGTGGCTTTGCTTTGCTCACGGATTGGAATAGGATATGCGCAAAACCTGACATCCGATAAACAGCTTCGTTGAATCTGGGCAAATTTGTTAATTTTAAAGAATTGAAGAAGAAAAACAGGAAATCCTTCACTGTAATTGTGAGTTCCTTTTGATTCTTCCTACAAATTTTCATAAGTCTTAGACAAGAGGAAATGGCAATAGCAGCTCACTGTTGTCCAGAAGTTAGTAGGGGTAGCACCATAGGGCCTGTTATACACTCAACTTGATCAGTACTGTTGTTACATTTTCGTTTCATCCTCAATGTGTGGTGATGCCAGTGTCAGCCATTTTTCCTTTTACTTACAGATTTCTTGTACATAGCCTACTGCCTACATGATTATCAGGGGACGAAGAGAACTGCAATATAACACGTATAGATGGTACACAAGACTCAAAATCACACACCCCTCGAACTACGGGTCCTGGCGAATTCGAGCTATCCGTGATATACTGTATTTAGTGAAGAGCTTACTGTGTATATGTGTGCACATTGCAGTGCAGTGGTGTTTTTGGTTTTATTGTTTGTGTTACTGGTACTTTTTAAAAGTTTTTGATTAATGCAAGAATTTGGCACTTGTTTTATTTTTTTGTGTTTTTTTTTCTGCAGAATCATCAGAGCTTTCCTGATTGAAGAACAGAAGATTGTTGCAAGAGTTCTGAAAGCACAGGAAGCATCAAAGAAGCACTGAATGTTTGAATAAAGCGCTGTAAAAGTTTTTACCTTTGTTTTTTCATTTTATGGAATCTACTTATATTTGGTTCATACATTTCTGTCATCATGTGAATGAAAAGCTTTGGTGCACTTTTTAGACATCTGCCTTTTTTAAAGAGATCTGTTCCTCAAGTGAGTGTCAGTGCTGTTGAGGTCATTATGGTTCTTGGAGATTGGCCTTAAGTTAACCCACTGAACCAGGTCCAACCAGATCTGCAAAAATTGTTTAGTATGGCTATGGTATAAGTATACAACGATTGAACAGAATCAGTTGCTTGTAAAGTTTTCTGAAAGAGGATTATCTGCTATGGTACAGATCTACTGCCATCTAGTTTCTGTCAACACATCCTCTAGGAGACCGTAACATGATGTATTTAATTTAAACTAAGATATCAACTGAGTTCAGAATTAGTTTTGCTCAGACACAAGGTGTAAGAAAAGAATTCAGTGTTTTCAAATTTTAGAGTTCAAATGATGGAAGACACATCTTTTTTGTCCATTTAAGATCTGGATTTTTTGTGTTTTTTTCTCAGACTAGTCAATGGTTGATCAGGTGACGCCCACTAAGTAAAAATTAGTATCATGCTGGATTATAAAGCTTATGGCCATGCTTCAAATCCGATTGGGTGTTCTTGAATTCAGGTGGTTTTGTGGAGTTTTCAAGGCTCTGTCCTGTCAGAGGCAGATCTTGGAAGTCCTGCATATAACCTTTTAAAGTGGTGATAGGGGTGTTATACCCATACACACTGGGTCAGCTCTTGGCATGTCAGTGGGAGTAGCAGTTAGGTTCTTCGCTGTTGCGTGACAGGAGACCCGAGTGGGACAAAATTCTTATCAAGTATTTGTCTTTCCGGTTGGATGTATTCCTCTTCTCTGCCCACGTTTGTCTTGACACTGACTGTCGTGTCTTTAGGCCATTCCCAAAGGGGGGACATTTCTCGTTCAAGCACAGTAGAATTGTGTAAATGGGCTGATTCATCATGTCACGCTCATAACTTAACTGTGCCTGCTGCAACAGGGAACTGCTGCTTTTTCTTTCTTAGTCCTTACTATTATTGTCATTTCCTCTACTTATTTTTTGTGGTTTGCTCCTTCTTTCCTATCAAACATCTGTCTCCCTTATCTCCCCTTCTTTTTTATGTTTGTTACTGTCTTGTAACACCTCTAATCTTCTGGCGCTCATATGACCTTATGCAGTTGCGAGCGCCGTAAAACCTCTACTAAAACTAAACTAAACTACTTCTTTTGTATGTTTGTCACACTCTTGTGACCCGCTATTTCCGGGGTGCCTTGATAGTCGACGAAGCAGACCTTGTGCTGTTGAAGCTAGAGAGGTGAGCAGAGCAAGTCTGCTGATTCTCTGTTGACACCCACCCCTTGGCGCTCATAATGACCTTATGCAGTTGCGAGCACCGTAAAAAAAAACACCTCTACTAAGAAAAAAAAATTCATGTACATGTATTATGTATTGAAAGAAAACAAATTCGGGACCTGAAGATCTGTTCACTTTGACTTTGTGCATGTAAGAATACTGTTCAAGAAACTTAAGTGATACGTATAGGCCTGCGTGTCAGTGTTTCGATTCCTATAAATAGTTTCAGTTTTACTTTAATAATTTACAGATGGACCATCATTGCCGTTCATAAACGCAATCTAAATCTGGGTTTTGATTAGTTTTCTCTACGAAAGTGTCTCTCGAGGCCAGGAACCAGGTCCACGGAGACACCCAGTCTCGGGGACCAAGAAAATATTTTTGCTTTGCGCATGCGTGACCTCACAAATCATTTCCTTCTTCTTCCAAGTAGGCCCTAGTTAAGTGTTGTCATTTCGTTTTCCCAAAAGGACGGGGGCGGGGACGGTCGCATCGGTGGCAATCGAGACACAAAAGTAAAAGACAAGATGCAATTTAGATCTAGGCCTAGATCTACTACGGGCCGAGCTGTGAAACGCACATGCATAAAAAAATATAATTTAACTTCGTAATCGGGCATTAAATAGAGTTCCCCGAGTGAAATTTGCTAATTTTGGGTCGCTGATCACGAAAATCTTTTTTTTTTTTAATTTGGACAATAGGAAATTTGTGGAATGCATTTTTAACTCCGCCTTGGGCAACAACAAAGAAGCCGCCTAATGTGCGTCCTAGTGCGGTACATGTATCTGTTCAGTGTTTTGACTTGCTGCAAGAAATCCACGGTGGGACGGGACAGTTCTGTACGAGACAAGAATAATATTCGTAGTGCGGTTGTAGCTTTAACTTTAACGTACAATGTAGGCTACTGAGTGCATTCGTTTACGTCTCCGTTCCCTGCTGCTCCCAGCTTGACCTTTCCTTCCAATTGCCGAATCATCGGGATTGTCTCTTATTTATTTCATCACCAGAAACTGAATGCACCCCTCTCGCTTTCCTCTCCTTTTCCTGCCGCTCCCAGTTGCAGAGCCGAACGCGAACGTTTTATCTCGCAACTAAAATTTCTCCCAGTTCTTTCTCGGCAAGTGATCAGATCACCAGAATTGTCTTTGTCCTCTCATCCTACAACAATGGACTCGGTGTCACAGAATAAAGCGCTCATTGCTGCAGTGCAAAATTAGTTGTTCTTTTCTCAATAATATGAGGTCCAATTAGTTTCAGGTCGTATCCGAATGAAGGAAACACATTTTTCCTCATCCCTCAATACTCAATAAAACTTCATCCAAATCCAAAAGATGACGATATTCTCCAAAATCACCTCTTCGTACAAAAAAAAAAAAATGGTAAGTGTCCAGTACTGTTTTTGAAAGTAATTGAAAAGCCTCCATTGTTGCTCAACACAAGGGTAGCAAACTCAAAACGATGTAGATCTATGTTAGGCCTAATGACAACACCGGATGTTCACGAACGGAAAGCGAGCGGAGACAAAAACGTGTCACATTCGTTTCCCTTCCATTTTTATGCCGATCAGGGAAATTGGTCAGACTGGAAACGAAAGAGAGCGGAGAGGAACAGGAATTCACTCAGTTCATGCGTTTTTATCCATCTTTCTCTCAAGCGCCCCCCCCCCGCCCACACAGCTTTCTTTGTGTCTCTCTCTCTCCCCCCTCTCTCTCTCTATCTCTCTCTCTCTCTCTCTCTCTCTCTCTGTCTCGGGGTCTCTCTCTCTCTCCCCCCCCCCCCTCTCTCTCTGAACTCTCTGATAAATAACCCACCCAGGTTTTGAATGAATAGACCACAATTTTAATCCCCGTGGACCAAAATCCTGGTCCCCCTAGACTCTTCCTTTCTCTACACATTTTTATACGCTTTATGAAAATATACACTCCTTAAAGGCGTAATGATTTTTATTGACCATTAGATCAAGATCCAGTGAATAGAAGAAAATGTTCTCCCCTCCCCCCCTCATCCGCTGGCCAGTGTCACTGACCCTATGAATGAAGGACCTTGTGTACTGTACATCATGTACAGTGGAATCCTGTTATAACGAGAGGGAGGGGGGTCGGAGCAAAATGTCCGTTATAGCAGGATTCTCGCTATAAGGGATCCAGTAATAAATTCATGGGAAACTGTAAAGTAGGCCTAATCTATGAGTTTGGTGTTTTGTTTATTTCCTTTTGCTATCTCCCCTGATGACGATTTTGTTTCAACATGACCTCTAAGTCTTACTTGATCTAAAATCGAATAAGGTTTCTTTCTCTAGCGCTAGATCGAGCGATGTAGACTGACAGCTCGGCGTTGGCGATCAGAAAGGAAGGGCTCTGGGCTAACTCACCTGCTGTGTTTTCCCCCACCCCACCACACCCTGTGGTGCATTCTGTCTGCTTGCGCACGTCACACATTCGCTGCGTCCATCACATTGCTGTGACCTCTCCATCCCCGCATCGGAGAAGTGAGAGGCAGGGTAGGCCTTGATAATCTAAACTAGGCTTACGCTGGCATATCACACGATGCGTTCTGCTTGTCTGCGCATGCCACACCCTCCCCACTCAGTTGCTCCGGCCTTCATTATTGACGCACATGGGCTCTCCTATTCTTTGTTTCGCAAGATCACAAACAAATTTCTCGACTGGCGAGGTTTTACGTTTATGTATAATTGGCCTATGCCCTGTGCACAGCAGCAACAATATTCCGCTATAACCGACTCTCATGTTTGTCTGATAGCGCTATAGCAGTATTTTATTTACAAAGGTAAAGAGGAGAAAAAAACGGGGTTTTAGAATAGTGCCTTTATAACAGACTTCTCGTTTTTTCCGGACTCGTTATAAGTGGACTCCACTGTAGTAAGAATTGCTAGAGGAGTGCTGCTGTGGAGCATGAGGGCACGGAAGAGTAGCTGCATCATGCTGGGGCGAACGCTGACTTGTTTGACAGGGTAGTCAAAGTGAGGTTCATAAAGAACGAACCAAATACATGCACATTGAAATATAGATAAGTCCAAACACGAAAAGCGTTCCCACAATATGTCCAGTAAATTATGTGAACTGAAATGCGGGATCTTACTATTCTTAGCCGAATGTAGGCCTTCAGAATGAATCTTAGGTGACTTTTTATAGTAAATATTCTGTTTTCTTAAAACAGTGGAATCTTAAGCGAACCATGATCGTTAGCAGTGAAATCTTAAGCGGAGACTATTGTACATTACAAACATGTGTATACAGTGGCGTCCAAAAGAAACTTGAAAATATGACCACCCAATCAGCGTATTGATAAAGCCTTGTACTACCCACTCATGCAGCATATATATATATATATATCTAATATCTACCAATTTAAAGCTAAATAAATTCTACATTATCTTGATACATTGATATACACGTAGACGAGACACCCGAGATATAGAAACCCAAAATTGACCTTAAAAAATCAGGCTTGGCAAAATAATTGTGCTAGAAAACAAATGAAAAAAAGCAAAGACATTTTTTCGTCAGAAAGTGATCCATTAGATCTACATTGTAATTTGTAAGATTTATAATTAGACTTAGATTATCTATGCCTATTTTTGTATGGCGTTGCCACTAGATTTACATCTTCTG